CATCAGGAATTACCACGACGTATAGATATTGACAGCCTGTCCATAGTTTGTGGATTCCAGCTCAGCACTGAGCCTTTCTTCAGATCTTTGATAAAAGCTACAATTAAATATGCAGTCAGTGAGTTTCACTTGCATATACACCCTCATGAAATTTGATTAATTGGAATCGACGGTAGGTTCTGTGTTGCATTTCAGCGAAACAAATGCGTAAACAACAGATCCAAATTCCGTTTGACAAAGGACGTACCATGTTGGGCGTGGTAGACGAGACTGGACAGTTGCAATATGGTCAGGTTTTTGTGCAGTACACCGAAAATTTAAACCTGAAAACGCCACCACCAAACGCGGCGAAAAAAATAGTTACTGGTGAGTGAGTCAAAAATTCTTGATGCATCACTTTTTTGAACGTTTTACGATTAACCCCAAGGCAACAAAGTGGTCTCATGCCTAGCGTTTCGGGCCGTTTCTCATAGTTTTAACTTCGTCCTTGTATCACTGACCACCTCACCATTGATTTCTGATGTACCGCCTATTAATCGTAAACTTCGCATTTAAGGAAAAGTACTGCTCACGAAAAACCCCTGCATTGTTGCCGGCGACGTCCGCGTATTTGAAGCTGTGGACATTCCTGATCTGCGGCACTTATGTGACGTAATCGTTTTTCCAATGCATGGACCGAGACCACATCCTGATGAAATGGCAGGTAGATCTTTTACGCAATTTTGAGAGGTGAGTAATGCATTTTATGGGAGATAGGAGTTCGAAGTGGAGGGAACGGAACCCCTTGTTTGTGCAAACAAATTCTGCCCATGCCGATCAGGAGGATCCCCCTCTAAGATATTACTTGGTACAAGACTTCCGGAAGAAAGCAGGCAAAAGAGCAGCTGTAAAATTCATTTGGCAGAATATATTTGTGTAAATCAAAACACATCGAAGCAATTGAAATGAAAGACTTCCAAATATGTGTGCCGCAGATGCGAAGGCCGTCGGTCTACCGCAGACCCGGCCCACTTGTGCTCGTTTGCCAGTGCGCCATGCGTTGCGCATGCGCTTACTGCGCTCTGCATGTGTCTTGGCCCCGCACGCGTATACCGGCGACAAGCAATTAGAGCCGGTAACAGGTCGGTTTCATCAGACAGTGCGAGGAGGCCGACCCTAGGAGCTTAACGTCTTTCCCGAGACCATGTCGGTGGAGCGTTTTTTTTTATCCAAACCGTCCGTGTCTCCACTACTCCCTGTCTGGCTGCACCGTTCCCCGTCACACCATTTCCGAATCGGACCTCCGTCCGCGTGAAGCCCCTATGAATTGCCTTGGGTAGAAGTGCGGGTCTAATACCTTGGCCAGCTATTGCTCACCTTTGAAAGTGCTTGGTCCAAGAGTCCGCACTATATCGCGAACTATTACTCATTTCATTCTACTATCCCTACTCTATATCAGGTGGGGTCAAAAATCCTGCAGCAAAATACATTTTGTGCTTGAAATTGCTTTTGAAAACTCCGAAATTCCGCAACATGTTTGTTGACGTAGCATCCACCTTTGCAATTTCAGCCAACCGTCCAGCTCGTTGTCTCGCTACTTGTTATGGATATTACACCGATTTCGCGAAAAGCTCTTCGTGCCCTTAATTTTTACGAGTACTGCTTGGAATGTTCCGCAAGTCATGCTAGAAGGATTGGCCAGAAGATGGGCGAGGGCACGCTCTCTCAAACCACAGTGCAACGGCGCTTCACTCTGCTCAGCGTTGACTTTTTTATTTGAAGATGATCCACACTCCAACCACCCTGTGACTGGCAATCACGATGCTCTATCTGACGCTTTGGAAAGGGATCTGGATAGACTATCGATCATTTGTCAGAGCACTAGAGCAATTTCGCACATAACAGCTTTCTCACGTACAGCAGAAGAATCCTCACGGAAGCATGGTTCGCGGGAAGAGCTGAACGAGCTGAGAGGTATATACATTCGAACTCGTCACGAGACGCAGGTCAAAAAGCAATCTTGCATAGGCATAGCATTGTCTCCGATCATCATGGCCCCACTCAGACGAATCAGAATTATGTGAAGGTTCAGGCTGGAGCGAGTACGTTAGGATCCTGAGCTCGTGATGCATAGATGAGTGATATTCTGGATACGGTGGGGGCAGTGAAGAATGGCCTGCTTCTTCTTATGAGGGGGAGACATCTGAGGAGTTTTTGCCCTACAGCTCCCATTAGCAGCGGTAACCTATGCGACGAAAAGTTTGATGCTTCCGTATAGATTGAATAACTGATTACGCGATTCTGTATACAGGTTCGAGATTTAAAAACCTCTCCCATTGAGGTGATGTTTCTTTTTCACATGAATTTTCTGAAGATTGCACAGTAGTCATTAACTAAACGGGTCTATATCTAGTCACACCTTTTTCACCAGTTTTTCAATCAAAGTCTATTTGTAAGGGTTTCTGGCGCTCCTAACTCATAATTTGGTACTAGTTATGCTAACCCCATTTTGCGTGAATTTGGAAACGACAATCAGAAATGTCAAAAGTTTTCCCCAGATCAAATAGGACTCTTTTGTATATTCAATAGCCTCAGGAAATGAACCAGCTTCTGTGCTCCCCATTGTGCCCCAATGTAAGCATTAACACATTTGAAAAGTGGCAAGCCCTAACGACCCCTTGTTAGTGTTTCAGGATCACTCGTCGGCCTGTTTCGGAAGTTTTCTCTAAGGAAAATGAAGGCCGCAATCAGGAGCATGTATGGATGACCCTAACATGTAAGGTATCTCAGCAAAAACTCCTAATTTTATCTTTCTTAATCGTTTTGATGGTAGCTACATTTCATGAAGTTCCATGCTTGGCTGTTTTCAATCTCTCACGACACACAGCTTCGAACCTCCCGCGCGGAAAGCTTTCGACCTGCGCAGATATAAGGAGGTATCGCAATGGCACTCTTTTAATGGTAGAATTCCATGTAGACACAACCCTTGCCCAAATTTTTGTATGTTCGTTACTCAACGCCACCCCGCCCGGGACCAGGGTCAACCCTATCGTTGTGACTCTTCGAAAATTTTTTACGACCCCCCCCCTTCATGGTTGATTTGATACGACCCCCCCCCTTGTACGTTACACTTGTGTAAAGACAGATTGACCTTAATATTTATTGCTACTCAAGTCAAATCAGCTTCCGAATAATGAGATGCACTCGAAGGTACCCGAAGGGTACCCCGAGGGGTTACTAAACTAAGAGATCGCCAAACTGAATCAGTTGCCTTAACACATTGTGGACCGCCGTTGAATGAAAACTTCGCCAAAAATGAGTCATCTATCAATAAATTTTTTGCCCGCTTGAAGATGTGTGCAAACTGTTCAGAAAGATTGTAAAGACAATAAGTCAGACGAATTCATACAAAAGAAACGGATGTGAACAGGTCGACAAAAAAGTAGCGATGTGATTTCAAATTTGCTGGTTGGCGCCCTTTTGCCTTGCTGACGGTGGAGCGCATCTGCTCAAGGTGAGGCCGTCGAACGGGAATGTGAAAAGTTTAGGAGTTTTTTTTGTTTAATTTCAGGTAGTCCGGAAGATATCGGCGGATGTTGGATCAGCGTGGTTCATCCTTCTCAAGGAGTGCCCATTTTTTCTCAAACCCTTCACAATGAAAAAGTTATAAGCCAAAAAATTAGATTGCAAGAGAATTTTTACACTCCTCTTTCTAGGGCTATAACTTCCTTCATGTTCGAGCTTCAGCGCCATAGTGATTTGATTTAAAAAATTCAAATTATTCTCTAGCCAATCATGGGTATAAATTCTTCGAAAGTTAATTTATTAAAAATTTTGGACGTTGTGACTTTCTCTGGTGCAAACCGACTTTTTTGCTTTCAAACGATCATAACTTCCTTCAAAGTCATTCATTTAGGAAGCTGAACGCGATATAACACACTCCAGGATTCAAGCTTTCTAACGAGTACCCAAACGTTCCTGCAAAATCAGTAGTTCAAAATTTAGTCCCGTTGTAACCATTATAAAGGGCTGGTGTAACCATTTCTTTGAAAACGCGACTTTTTTACCTTCAAACGATCATAACTTCCTTAAAAGTCATTCATTTAGGAAGCTGAACGCGATATAACACTCCAGGATTCAGTTAACGAGACCAGCTTTCTGAAAATCAGTAGTTCAATGTCCCGTTGTAACCCTCAAATTTGAGGGGTATTTTTTGAGCCACTTTCTCGAAAGCGCGAGTTTTCTTAAGTTCCACTGCCCGTAACATCTCGCAAGACCAATTTCATGTTTAATTTAGGATGTGCTAGAATGCTCCGAGCATGCGCTTGCACTACATCCCTTCCCTTGGTGCGCGCCACGCCTCGGGCGCCCTTCTAATTCGCTGATTCATTTGAAAGCTCATTCAGAGGGAAGCGTGGTTTACAGATGCTCTAGTATCAGTAATCTTGCGCAAACGTATCGTGCCGGCTATCATGCTGGTCTCTAAAGGCATTAGTTTCATATGTGGTCTCGTGGCTGTCACAATGCGAGTACTTTTTTCAGGATGCTGCAATCTTCCACTTCATGACTGCGTCCTTGCAGGGAGAAGGCTTTGCATAAATTGCATGAGAAACATCGAAGCTCTCATGCAATTATGCAAAGCCTTCTCTTTGTGTTGCACAAGTGTCTACTTATGCAGCGCATGCACCACTATCCATACTCAGTAGGACATCACCAAGAATTTTCAGTGCCGGCCACCAAAAAATTACGACCCCCCCCTCCAAGCTCAATTCAGTACGACCCCCCCGTTGTGACTCGTCACAACGTAGGGTTGACCCTGCGCGCAACCGCCGCGTACTAGCCCGGGCGAGCCAAAAGTCCCGCAACCAGGGATAGGTGCACTTCGTATGCGATGGTGTGCAAGCTAGGGAGTCGTGGTCTCAATAGAGTTGGGAGGCTCAAAAGGTCCCAGAGCATGTTATGGGGCGCTTGAATGGCTGGTGCTGTCGCTACGGGTGCTCCTAACGACGAAACTGCTCATCATGAAGCAAAACGCGATCATCTTATTCCTTACCATTTGTTCCCTTCCAGCTTTCACAACTAATGTCTCACAAAAGGGCAAGCACGCTAGTCACAGGTTCATGAGGATGAAGCGTACACCTGACAGGTTTGTTATCACACGTGTACCCTCTGTTACTTCGGTCAAGCGCGGTGTATTGGCAAGAGGCGTCATTCCCATGCGTGGGGTTCAAGTCTCGAACCGAATTCCGGGGCCATCTAGTTCTTCCATTCCTTCGAGGTCGGCTCATTGCATTATTACTTGTCTGGGAATAAGAGCACTGAATTGTATATCGGTTGGCCCGAGCATTGTAAGTGCAAATCGTAGTCACTTGCCACTACAATTTCTAAAATGGAAGTGGGACGTGAATACGGGGCTATCAAGACATGATCAGCTTGAAGCTTCATTTTTCACTTTGTTTCCTTCGACTACTCACTTCATTTTTGCTATTTATTTTTCTTTCGCTGCAATTTGAATTATAAATTTCTTTATTTTTCTTTGTAATGCTAAGGAGCATGGCAGATCTATTCCCTATCAAGAGTTTTGGAGTGCTTTACTTGATAGCACACGTCACCGCAAGATGCGAGCGTGATTCTGGAAAGTCTTTAGGTGGCAAATGCCTTTGCGTTCAGGACTAACTTTACATTATATATTTTTGATTATGCGCATCCCGCTGTACAGTTTC